TGAGAAACAAGTTAAGGGGAGTAGTCGCTAAGTTAGACTGAATTATTTTAACTTAAGAAATAAAAGAATGTCTCCTACAGTAACGAACCATGCACTATCAATGTTATAAACTAACAAAAAACAAAGGCCTCCTAACACAATTTGGTTTTTATTTTATATAGATGTTAAATGAGGTGAGAATTTATACCTAGAACTCCTGAAACTGTAGTTCTAAAAAAATTTTTTTAGGGAAAATATCAGAATTTAATCTATGAACATTAATAGCTGCTCTGTTTAGAGTTAAAAAAAATCTACCTTCTGTTTAAACCGTAACTCCCATTTTTGCCAAATACAGTATAATCGAACTTTTTCTGTCTCAATATCAGCTTTCTGCCACTTTAATTGTCAAAATATTTAAAGGAAAATTTAAATAACTGTGGCAACGTCATTTAGTAAATTTTTGTTTCCTTTGGTCAGAAAAAAAGTAATTAAAACAAAACAAAACGAGAGCTATTGTTCCTTTCCTGCCCAGCCACCATAAATGAGTCTCAGGAACAGGGAGCTTCTAAGGAAAGGGGCTGCCAGAGCTGGTAGTGTGGGAGGAGGAAGAAGGGGAGGGCTGAAGGACTGCCTATAGAGGCTGAGAAGGAAACCGAGGCCAGAGGGCTACACCTACAGGCCACTCCCTCAAACATCCCCTCCTTCCCTCAGGCAGCGGCACCTTCAAGGGGGACTGGCAGTGCGATCTCCGATCTCGATCTTCTATCTCTGTAGGCAGGCTTGAAGCTAAGCACAGCAGGTCCTCAGGCTCACCAGAGTTCCTGCTCACCAGAGTCCCCTTCCTCTCACACACATCCCAGCCCAGTTTCACACAGAACCACCCATCTTCTTGGGGCCCAGCGGGCTGTGACAAGGAGCACAGCAGTGACTAATGTAGGTGAAGAGAGAAGGACCCTCTTCGAATATTCTGCTCTAAGTCTGAACCCCAACGCGACCTTAAGACTCTGCACAGTTGAGACCACCAGCTGGGTTCAATTGAGGCTCAAAGCAGGGTACATTTGAATTAGAGGAAAAAGAAAATAATAAGATTTGAAAAAGCAGAACAACATCAATCCCAGCCTCAACCACATCCTCCCCGTGTGTGTGACAGCAACTGTAACACCTCATCACTGGCATTTGCTATGTGGTCCTTCCCGACCCAGGACAATCACACCGTCACAGGGAGGGTCGCCTCTGGATCCCAGAACACATCAGAGTTTTGTGGAATCCAGGCTTGATAAGTCAGGCTAAAAGTAATTCAAAATCAAAGTGAAAGGTGTACACAGCAAAGTCTTAGTTTCTAAACACAGCTTTGTTTAATCCTTTTTAAATTAAAAATGTTGAAAATATACTCTTATTTAAAATATATGTAATAAATTAGCACGAATGCTTTAAGCAATCACCACAAGGAGATTCACTGAAGTTATATTTATAGTCTTCAAAACTTCAAGTGGCTTAAACATCCAAGAACTAAAGACTGGTTGAATAAGTTACGTCATGTTTCTACATCTATGTGGCGGAAAAGCATACAGATCATAAAATAGAGCTAAGAACATTTCAAAACTTATTAGAACATATCCATGATATATTATTAAATAAGAAAAGTGGATTGTAAAAGATTACTATATCGCTTTTGCAGAAAAGATATACAAAAAACTAGAAGGCTATATAATAAAGTATTAAGTACTAGAAGAATGGAATTGAAGATGAAAGATATTTTTTCTTCAGATGAACGGTTCTAAGTTTCCTAACTTTTCTTAAAACAAGCATGTATGTATGTATTTATGTATTTTTATGTAAATTCTACACCTAACATGGGGCTTGAACTCAGGACCCTGAGATCAAGAGATGCTTGCTCTACCAATTGAGCCAGCCAGCTTTTATGATAATAAATGCATAATGTGCTGCACTTTTTTTTTTTTTTTTAAGTAAACTCCATGCCCAGTGTGGAGCCCAGTGTGGGGCTTGAACTCACAACCCTGAGATCAAGACCCTAACTGAAATCAAGAGTCAGAGACTTAACTCAACATACTGAGCCACCCGGGTACCCCATGATGTGCTGCATTTTAAAAAGATTTCCCAGATGCTGAGAGGATGTCCTTGAGAAACCTGGGTGGTACATTCACCACACCCTCATTCCCTACGGAAGAGAAACTGTATTCTATTACAACACAAGATGAGTGGGGAGTGGGGGGATATTTGGGTTCAATACCATCCCCCTGGATTGTTCTCTGCATAAGAGAAAAACAAAAACATGGGTACCTAGGGGGTGCCTGGGTGGCTCAGTGGGTTAAAGCCTCTGCCTTCGGCTCAGATCATGATCTCAGGGTCCTGGGGTCAAGCCCCGCATCAGGCTCTCTGCTCAGCGGAGAGCCTGTCCCCCCTCCACCCCTGTCTGCTTCTCTGCCTATTTGTGCTTTCTCTATCAAATAAATAAATAAATAATCTTTAAAAATTTTTAAACGAAACAAAACATGGGTACCTAGGTGGCACAGTGGGTTAAATGCTGGCTCTTGATTTCAGCTCAGGTGGTGATCTCAGGGTCCTGAGATGGAGCTCTGGGGTCAGGCTCTGGACTCAGCATGAAGTCAGCTTCAGACTCTCTCTCCCTCTCACTCTACCCCTCCTGTCTGTGCTCACTCTATCACTCTCTCAAATAAATAAATAAATCTATTTTTAAAAAGAGAGAGAGCAAGAGAGAAACAAAATCATAAATTCCTGTTCCTAAATTAATCAGCTTCTGGAATTTGGGGATCCAAGGAGAGCCACACATCTATACATAAAGATAGTATTAGAGCAGTATTCTTCTTTTTAGAAGAAAAGGAGCTACCTGAGGTTTGTATAAAAAGAAAGTGTGAATCCCCCATCTCGAGTAGGACGAAATGCTGATTTGAAGATGGTCTGGATAATTTCATGAGGCATGGCAATTCAGACACAGCATAGGATCTGAAAGTTCGATTATTAATTACACCACATTTGATCCAAATGGGATTTAAGATTCATGTACAAAGAAAAATATAAAAAAATTAAGATGAAGACAATAATTATTAAGGCTAGAATTTTCATCCTAAGCCACCTATTTATTATATAACCTTGGACAAATTATCTTTTTAAATCTTAGTTTCCTCACCAGCCAAACAGGGATAATGATAATACTCATGTGACAAAGTAACCAAGCGCAAATCATGTCTTATTTTTGCCAAGGCAAAAGAACTTAATTTCTTCCCAGCTCAGTGAGAGGGAGGGACCTACAGTCAGATCTAATTTGACTTTGGAACAGTAAGTCAGGTGACATTCTCACAGTCAGGAGCTACAGAGCAAAACACTTTCGTCACAGACTTGGCATAAGGATTAAATGAAACAATGGATGTCACAATGCTATGTCAATTGCCATGCAATGTTCAGACAGAGATTACTGTTATTAAAAATTCCACTCATTTCTCACAATATGGTAAAAACAAAAACCAGGAGAGCTAGGTTTTTATCCCAGTCCTGCCCACATCCTGCAGCCGGAATCATGCCTTCGTCATCTATAAAATGGGAACATACTCTCTGCCTTGCCCTATCTCACAGGGTTATTGTGGGCTCAAGTGAGACAGTATACGAGGAAAGTCCAGGGGTGCCTGGGTGGTACAGTCAGTTAACTGTCTCTTGGTTTCAGTTCAGGTCATGATCTCAGGGTAGTGAGATCAAGCCCCACGTCAGGCCCCATGCTCAGCGTGGAGTCTGCTATTCCCTCTTTCTCTAATCTACACCTCCTCCTGCCCTCTAGGGTGCACACTCTCTCTCTCATAAATAAATAAAATCTTTTAAAAAGTTCATGGAATGTATTAGACAAGGGTGACCTAAAAGTAAATCAAACTCAGTAATGTGTAATGTCACTTTACAGTACAATTCTGTGAGTTCTAAACATTGAACATGGATTAAAACTGATTAGGTGGTTTTATTACAGAAGTAGTCTTCATTTAAAACAAAATATCTGGGGGCGCCTGGGTGGCTCAGTGGGTTAAGCCTCTGCCTTCGGCTCGGGTCATGGTCTCGAGGTCCTGGGATCGAGCCCTGCATCGGGCTCTCTGCTCAGCAGGGAGCCTGCTTCCCCCCACCTCTGCCTGCCTCTCTGCCTACTTGTGATCTTTCTCTGTCACATAAATAAATAAATAAATATTTTTTTAAAAAATCCGAGTAACCCAGATGCCCATCAATAGTAGAATGGATAAAGAAATGATCATAACACAGAATACTCACAGCGAGAAAAATGAATGCACTTTAGTATACAAGACATACAGCAGTGACAGAAGCAAAACAGAAACAACACACATCATGATTCATTCACATAACGTTACAGATAGGCAAAATAAGCTTGTTTGTTCAGGGAAGGATACACGGTATTAAAATTATAACAAAAAATAAGGAAATAATTACAAAGTCAGATGGGGATTGTCTCTGGCTGGGGAGGGAGGAGACAAGCGAAGATATCATCAGCCCAATAGGAAGGACTTTGGGGCTGCAGGCTATGTTAAATTTTCTGTGTGTATGTGCAAGTGTACATATATATTCATGTATGTATGTACACTCTGATCATTTTCCTGCCCATAATATCTCACAACAAAAGACCAACAATTACAACAAGTCCACTGAATTCCGTACAGATTAAGTTACGTCAATAGCGTTCCCTTTTTTTTTTTTTTTTTTTAAAGAACGTTTGCTAAGAGTTTCAGTTCTAATCTCAGATACATCAAACCAAGAGATTACTCAGTTGGGATTTTATTTAATCTCTTCAAAAAGAAAATATAATCATCAAGCAGGTTGTGGTGATTCAGGCTACTGGTCTACTTATTAGTGATTTCTAATTGCTGGGACATTTTCAGGGCCACATGAAACATTCTACCATCAACAAAAGAAAACTACACGGCTATGCCCACCCGCACATTATCTCACACCACCACCCTAAAAGGAAATGCGAAGTTACTTCCGGGACTTACCAGTTGGCTGTGTTTGTGCTATTCTCTTTGGGTACGTCTTGCTTCGACTTCTTGCCACATTCTGATTTGGCCGAGGAAGCTGAATAGAAAGATCTCGACTCATTTGCAGAGCTGTCCTGCCACTTGGAAATGCAGTATTTTGGTTAGCACAGATAAAACCACACAGCCCCAAAATTAAGCCCCGGCTCACTCAGAAGATCTACAATGTCTGGAGAGGGGAAAAAAGGACAGACTCACGCAGGCCCCGAGTATATACGCGTTTTCCACGGGTTCTCACTGCAATGTTAACCAAGGGCTAATAGGAGAGTCTTAGATTAGATAGAAGGATGATCTTTCAGAGGGAGAAATGGAGAAATTTATTAAAGGAGTTAGGTTTAGACTTAAGCAGAATGATGAGCTATAAATAGGGGATGCTCATGGTCTGCTAGCTCTACAACTAAATAATAAATTACAGTGGGCTAAAGTAAACAACAGCAATGAATTTGAGTGAATCAGTATGTCTCTGGGTTATACTTACACAGCAAGTTGTAAAGTATCCCTTCCCCCACAGGACCACTTGGTATGATTTTACCCTGAACCTGCCGTGGCATAATCCACCATGTATTATGCTCTCCTCACTTGCACCCGATCAAGTTCCCAGGAAGATTCAGAGCTAGCCCAAAGCCCATGCAAAGTGCTGCTTCTCTAAAGAGTCAGAGGACGCAAGGAGGTGAGTTCTCCTTGGGAATGGACTAATCTTCAAGTAATCTTCCCGAGCAATTGTGCAATTCTGTTTGCTGGATTTCAGTGAACATTCATCTTACTGAAAAATTATTCACAGCTGCTGAATTTGAGCCAAGGAGTGACCCTGACTTTCAGGGAATAATATCATTCAGGTACAGGAAAAATAGATTTCTGGATGTTTAGTTTGATTCATCACAAAAAGAGCCACATATGGGAGGAAAACAGACTTTTAATGGCTCAAATCTTATTCCTCCTACATTTACAGGTTAATTATTAGTGACTCTCTCCCCAAAAGAAAGGAGACTCAGAAAGCAAAATTCACCTCCTATGTGCTTCTGTGAAAGTCTCCCCTAGTGACTACCCTAATTACCTTTACTAGAAATAAAAAGAAGCTTGAAATACTCATAAAAGGGACTCCTCATCAGGCTAATTGGGGACACCACTTGGTATGAGCTACCACGGGAATTTAGATGGCAGGTACTATCTGTGAACGTGCTTCTTGTTCAGTAGTTTACAGGAACCAGGCAGAAGGGAGAGGAGAAAACCTGTGACAGATTTTCTTTCACTTGAAATTTAATTTTTTTTAAAGGTAGCCCATAAGGTAACACAAGTAGCAACATCTCTCTCCTGAAAAGCTAAAAAAAAAAAAAAAAAAGAAAGAAATCCACATAAAGAGCACAATTCCATTATTATAAATGGTTTGAGGTATAAAGATAAAAGCCACTTACAACAGACTTTCTCTGTTATCAGAAAGACCTGGGTACTGTGTACCTCACTGCGGAGAGGAAGAAATATTTGTCCTAAAAATATAAACCAATATGTGGGCCACGGTGGCATTTTATAATGAGATTTTACTTTATCATTCAATTTTTCCTCATGGTTTCTCTCTCAGGAATAGAGGAGAAATAAGAAAATCCTATTACAAGATTAATAAAACTGTGGTCCAGAAACATAAACTGATCTGCCCCAGCCTGTACAGGGCTCCAGACCACAGTCAGTCTTCTGACCTCCAGATGGCTGTTGCCCAGCCTGGTGGCACAGAAGAAAGGGCAGAACACGGAGCCATCTGGTTTGAGGTGACAAGGCCCGCTTAAATCACATCTCTGTTACCATTGTGTGGTCTTCAACAGATTCTTTTAAAAATCTCCTGGAGCCTCATTTTCCTCATTGAAAATATGTATCTACTTAGCAGTCTCTTTCTGAGCAGAAATATTCGTTGACAGTATTCTTAGTATTTCCTTGTAGCAAAAAGTATGGGATGAAAATAGAGATTTACAATGTAAAGTGTGAGAGTTCCTATACCTGTCTAGTGGTTCTCCGTAGTAACAGGAAATAGCTTTGCCTCCCCCATAATCACCCACTTCCCTTCCTCCTTCCATGTTGGCCCACACACACTGCTGGGGAGGGCAAAACTGGTAATCAGTGGGGTAAGGGAGAGGGAACAAGTGTAAAGACATCTGGGCTCAAATCCCAGCTTTGCCACTTACTGGTTCAAGGTCTTTCGTTCAGTTACTTTATTTTGGGGGGTGCTCAAATTTCTCATCTGTATAAATGAGGATATGACGCCTCCCTTGGCAGGTCATTGAACAGATTAAATAAAGTAACACATTTAAAGCACCCAACACAAAAGAGGTCCTCGTGAGAGCATGGTCTCCCCCACACTTAAAGAAATGTGGGAAGTTCATGTGATTTCAGTCCTATAAGAAGGTCAGCTGAGTCCCCAGGGAGATTTCTCATGCCTAATTCTCATTTCTGGAGTATAAATTCTGTACACCTCATTCCTTCATTCTAACCAGGAGTCACCTACAAACTTAACAGGTGAAGGCAAAGTCAGTTTTTGAGGGGCTCAAAGAAAGAGCTCTCAGTGCATAACAAAATATTTAATCAGAACCTATTTCAAATTATTCCTATCTGATAATAAAACAACAACAAAAGAATTAGATTTCTGATTTCAGCTCGGTTTACCCACAAACTTTGAATTTTTGAAAGGACTGGCAGTCACAGATCACTAAAAACATTAAATTTTTTCCTTCTTAATAATTCCTATTTCTGAAGGATGTTGGAATCTTCTTGGTATTCTGTAAGCCCCAAGATGCAGGAAAGAGTGTAAAGAGTAGAACTCGGGTCTTCCTCCATCTCACATGCACCACTATAAACACGCAGACACCCACATTCACACACCACAACCACTTGTCATGCTATTCTTTATCCCCCATGCTCTGAAGGCCTGCTGGGTAGAGGAGGGGGCTGCCCGTGTTTCCAGAACTCTGCTTTTATTCCATGGTTTCTCCAGAGTGTTTCAAGAAAGGAGTAACCATATGATGTTTGTTAAAGGCTGGTTGCTTTTCCTCTTTAGACAATTAACGGTCCACGGGCTGGCGACCACCCAGCAGTCAAGAGACCCACCTCTGTGTGAGCCTAACTCTGGGCAGTGGGGCTGAAACATCTTTCTTCAGGGATGGTGTAATGTTAATGCTTCCTACACACAGACACGGAGATTTGGGTTTCATTAAGACTTACTGGGGAGTTAATACCATCCACAAAATTAGAACAGATTTAGCAGAGCTTCAAATTCTGCAAAGGTTACCTTTAATTACTTTCTCAGAAGAAATTATATTTAATATGCAAAATCCAATAACCTGCTAATAATAATTCCCAGTAGCCACAACATTTGCATTTCAATAAATTTGAGAAATCAGGTATGGGTAAATTTGTGGAAACCAACTACAGCATATGTTAAACAGCATAATTACAATTTTAATAGCATGAACACTGACAGATGCCTTTTCACTAGCTTCATTTCAGTGACAAGGAGATAGATTTACACATTCTCCTGATAACCCCAAAAATGTTTTATGCCCCAACTGGAAAAACAGCCCAAATACTGACTATCAGCTCTTCTCAGTATAAAAGTAAATATTCTTTCCTTAAATTCCTGATTAATTATAGCACTAACTAGGGAAGAACCTTAACGACCCGAAGGTTAAATTTTTAAGTATCGATGAACAGTTTCATACAAATACCAAGAACATCTATAATACAATAATAAAGGTTTCTTTAAAAGATTTTATTTATTTATTTGACTGACATCACAAGTAGGCAGAAAAGCAGGCAGAGAGAGAGAGGGGGAAGCAGGCTCCCCGCTGAGCAGAGAGCCCGATGCGGGGCTCGATCCCAGGACCCTGAGATCATGACCTGAGCCAAAGGTAGATGCTCAACCCATTGAGCCACTCAGGTGCCCCAATAATAGTTAAGTTTTAAGTCATCAAATGAGCAAGTACCGAAGTGAATAATATGTAACGATTAACGCACTGAGCATTTATTATTAATCTCTCTTTTATTGACTATCTCTCATTTCAAATTCAGGACCCAAAAAAAGTGGGTTAAAAAAAAAGGAGTTAAAGTTTGGCATATCACTATCCTACCAACACCTGACTTGGCTTTATTTTTAAGTCTCCTAGGTAAGCATTTCATTTAGTGATGTCTCCAGTGGAACTGACAGAACAGTGTCCTACTTCCTGAGTGGCACTCCTACACCCTACCTGAGTTTTACAGGGCCTGGGACCTGCTTCACTCCCTGAATAATGCTGTAGCTTTATTTATACAGAAGTAGCTTTATTTATACAGAAGTGGTTAGACCAGATTCTTTATATCTCTGGGCACCTAATACCTTGGCTTGCAAGGTCTCTAACAGATTGAACTGAAACACAAGTTCTTTTTTACAACATCAAAGGTTCCCATTTTTTTTTTTTAAGATTTTTATTTATTTATTTGATAGAGAGATCACAAGCAGGCAGAGAGGCAGGCAGAGAGAGAGGAGGAAGCAGGCTCCCTGCTGAGCAGAGAGCCCGATGCGGGGCTCGATCCCAGGACTCCGAGATCATGACCTGAGCTGAAGGCAGCGGCTTAACCCACTGAGCCACCCAGGCGCCCCCAAAGGTTCCCATTTTTAATGCTGGTATTAGACTCAATCAGCCTTTTCCTGCAACACGTTCACCTTTGCCTAATGGCCAAAGGCAAGGCCTCTTGAGTTAGATTGCCAGGAAGGGGACCACCCCCCATTTCCTTCTTCCTGGCTGGGTTACCTTGAAGAGTGACTCGACATCTCTGAATCTTAGTTTCCTCACCTATTAAGGAGGATAAGGTTAAGAAGACTGCAATGATTCAATGAAGCAATAAATGGAAAACATTTACCACAATACATGGCATTTAGTAACTGCTCAGTAAAGTTTAGATACAATTATAGCATTACTACATGTAGGCTTTATGCAGCAGGAAACATGATTTGATCCACAATATAAAGTACATGTTGTGTTACAACAGGGGATGAAGTCAATGTTTAAAGAACACCATTCAGCTCCAATTCAGAATATCTAGTTTGTTTCATAATCAAAACATAATTAGAAACGAAGTAATAATTGTATCAAAATGAATGTCTGAAGATAATAAACTTTACCACATTCTAAAAGCCCTAATTTAAACCTGAAAGGCTGTTTTTGTCAAGTTTTTTTTTGTTTGTTTTCTAGAGATAGGGGAGACAGAGAGAGAGAGGAGAGTGGGGAAGGGGCAGAAGGAGAGGGAGAAAGAATCCCAAGCAGGTTCCACACCCAGTGTGGAGCCCAAAGAGGGGCTCGATCTCATGACCCTGAGATCATGACCCGAGCCAAAATCAAGTTAGGATGCCTAAGTGACGCACCAACCAGGTGCCCCCATCAAGAAAGTTTAATAAACTGTTACACTTTTGAAATTCATGAGCACTGTAGAAAAAGAAAAAAGATTTAAGTCATAAACTTTAATGTGCATGTATGTGGACAACTGAACTCAATATTTATTTATTCATGCACACACACCCTTCCCCAAGGAAAAAAATGCCATTTACCTATACCGGTGCTTATAACTCATGGATCCAAACTTGCTGAGTTTTCTTGACAATGAATTTGATTCATTTTCTGGCATTCTAATAAATTTTTAAAAGAAAATTATGTAAGAATTCTATAAATACAGGTATTTATACAACACTTGAGCAAAAGCTATGGAGAAAACATAGTGCAACACTTTTTCACAGCTCGTCGAAATATTTTATTTATTCTACATGTCGACAGGAAATAATAATCAGTTATTTTAAGCTAGAATTTGAAATACAACCATTCTCTAGGATTTTACATAGGTCAACTTAATTTCTCTAGTTAAGAATTTTGTCACTATGTTGATTTACCCATGCCATGGTTTTCATGGTAAATCTGATATGGTGTTTCACTTTTCCTTTTATTTCGGGACTTCCCATCCCAGGATACCTTCAACAGACACCTTCCATGTGGCGCTCATTGGCCCAGGCCCCAATGGCTTAGAGGTGATGTCTCAGACCTGCTGGGCCACATCCCTCACCTAATATAAACTCTATAAAGGACACTGGTCACTGTACAAGAATACTTCTCCAACGACATACTATTTGAGAGAAGTGCTCCATGCACACCAAATAGGAATTAGGGGAAGAATGAATCTAGCTTGAAATTTAAAAGCAAAGAATAAAGCATTAATATATTTCCTGATAAGATGTGGTTTTTAATCTTTATACCATAAGGATTGAAACAAAAGTGTTGCCACAGGGGCGCCTGGGTGGCTCAGTGGGTTAAAGCCTCTGCCTTCAGCTCAGGTCATGATCCCAGGGTTCTGGGATCGAGCTCCACATCCGGCTCTCTGCTCCGCGGGAGCCTGCTTCCTCCTCTCTCTCTCTGCCTGCCTCTCTGCCTACTTGTGATCTCTGTCTGTCAAATAAATAAATAAAATCTTTAAAACAAAAAAAAAAAGTGTTGCCACAATCCAATGGTCTATTTTTTACCCTCATCTTACTTGACCGCCAAGGAGCATGTGACACAGTTGCCAATTTCTTTTTCACCAGGACATTTTCCTCCCTAGTTCCCATTTTCCCACACACACTTCTGGTTACTCCTCCTTACACTCCCTCATTGGCTCTCACTGCCCTCTAAGGGCTGGGAGGATCCCGCAGCTCAGTCCTTGGCTATCCACTTCTCTTTCCTCACTTTTGCCACAGATGACTTCATCCAGTCCCTTTTGCCTTAATTACCTAGTAATTAACAAGACAAGCCTTGGTTTCCCAAGAGGCATATACACCCAACTGCCTACTCCACACCTCTACTTAGATGGCTAAGAGGCATTTCAAATTTAGTATAGCCACAGAACATTTAATTTCCATTACCAAAGCTGTACTCTTTATATATAAACATCCTTGACCCTTTCTTGTAGTAGGAGAGAAGAAGGTATCTGGGTGTGTGTGTGTGTAGTGTGTGTGTATACGTATTAATATGATCCAGAAAATTAGGTGGCTGAAAAAAATTAATAGAGGAGAAACACTTCTAAATTTCAACTGTAGACAGAAAAGAACTCTTGTTATAAAAACAAATCAATTTTCATTTATTAAAACAATGCATAAAACTTTCATATTAACATACCTAAAAAATGTATGATGTTCTACACTACACTTCCAAAGATGCTTGCAAGCTGTCTTACTCCGAGCTTCAAAAAAGAATGAGGTTTCATTGCACTGAGAGAAAAGAGAGAGAGAAATATAAATTACTGACCATAATGTTCTTCGTATGACAGCCACCTTCTAGTTACCAAAAATTCGAGTAAGCAGAGACACATTATTAACACATAAAACAAAAACCAATTATCTCCTGGTAACGATTTTTAGAGTGTTGCCTTAAAACCACCTTTACTAATTAAAATTACGAAATGTAAGTTCCATGTAAACCTTAGCGGCATCACCTTTGTTACCACCGACCATGGATGATCAGGGCATGGCATGGAAGGACTAGAAATATTTCCATCATAAATGGGCACCCAAATAGGACAGCATCAATAAAAAGGAGATGCCCATAAATCCAGTTCTTAGCTGGATTATTTTTTTTTTAAGATTTTATTTATTTATTTGACAGAGATCACAAGTAGGCAGAGAGAGAGGAGGAAGCAGGCTCCCCACTGAGCAGAGAGCCCAATGCGGGGCCGATCCCAGGACCCTGGGATCATGACCTGAGCCGAAGGCAGAGGCTTTAACCCACTGAGCCACCCAGGTGACCCTTAGCTGGATTATTTTTAAGGAATACACAGGCCCCATTTAAACTGATATCTAAAGAATCTCAAGAGGGGCCCCTCTGAGGAGCGACCACCACAGCAGTGTCATCTAAGCATGTCCAAATCATGTCTCAGAGCTTCTGCATTCTGCACCTAGTTAATGGGAGAATTAAATGACATGACCAAATAAATAAATAAATAAATAAAAGAAAAAAAAAGAAAAGAAATACATGCTATGACAGATGTAAAGTACACAACAGGTCTAATTAAATTTCAACTATTATTTTAATCCCATGGTTACTTACCTACAATTTAATAGATAAGAAGTCATTCTAATTGGGCAGAAGATACTCTTTATTTTTTTAAGTGACTGAATAGCAAACCAAGCAAAATATAATAGAAGTACTAAATAATAAACCACAAGTCCTGTGAAGGTCTGTTATTGGTTTTTATCTAAGACAAAATGAGCAAACTCAAGTCTCAAAGGCAGAAATGTCCCTGGAATGAGGTTTATATGGATGTCTAAACACACAACTGGCAAGGCAGAGGAGTCACTGAAAGGATCCTCCCCACCTTTTAATAAGGATAGAATATTTATATGCATGAAATTTCTTCCAAGTCCATCCGGAATGAGGCTGCCCAGTTTAGAGGTTTATTTGTAAGATGAAAGCATATGAGGACAATGGAGCCAATCTATGCGTGTTACAGCAAGGCCGCCTGTAACTCCAAAACCTTGTGAAGTGGAGGAAAGAACATTAGACAATTCCCAGGTTTCTGTCTTGGGAATGCTACCTAATAAAAGACAGCAAGTGGAAGAAGTTGGGGATTTGGATGGCAAGACAATGGATAGAACGTTCAGGAGATTTGGATTTTGAGGTGCCCATGGAATGGGGAACTAAAGACCCCAAGGGGGCCAGGAAACATGCAGACACTGGGGTGAAGGGACAGGCCATCCCTGCTGACACGGATGATTTCACCCAAGAGCAAAAAGAGACTGTTCAGGGAGACAGAATGAAGTGTGTGAAGATAAAATCACAGCCAGGATGCTTGTGAAGATGCAGGGAGAGGGGTCAGAATGGACCAGGAGGCAATGATGTCAAAGAGGCTGGGAGGAGAGCACAAGTCTCAAGTGACCTGGAAAGGTCAAACGGGGTTTGAAAGGAGGTGACTGCCTTTCACGGTAAGAAATCTTCAGTGACTTTCATGAAAGGGGTAGGAATTACAAAATTAGAGATAAGGGAGAAAAGTTAATGAATTCAGAAAAGGTTTTCCTCAAAAGCAAAAGAAATGGGGGAAGAGGGAACACAGGAAATCACAGAAGATCTCTGGGGTGAGGGTGGGAAAGCAAGCATCCCACCAGGAGATGGGAATGCTCAGAGTGGAGGGGTTTTTTCCTTTTACTTTTGTTCTTTTAGTATATAATATACATACATGGTACAAATGACACAAGTTACCAAAATGGACACATGCTGATAACTAAAATCTCTCTCCCACCACTGTTCCTAATCCCCTTCCCCAGAGGCAACCACTAGTAGAGTTTCTTATAGAATAGGTTCATGTTTTTAAGGTCACTGGATTACCCAAAAATATAATGCACAGGTCATTTCCTTTAAAATAACTTTGCTTGTGATTACACTGTATCCTGATAAGTAATTAAGATAAAGTGTTTTTAAGGACCACCACGTGGGCCAGGACCTACTTATTATTATGATTGACAAGAAATGGTAGCCAGGAAGGACTACTCTGTGACATTGAGACTTGAACTAAAATTTTAGCAAGAGCATCCACAAATAAGGTGGCATTTGCATACCCAAAAACAAATTTTCAGTTATTTAATTACATATATAGAAATATGTAATTAAATAACATTTATCCACGTTTTTAAAAATGGAGGAGAAACAAAAAGCATTCAAATCTTAAAAATAAAGTAAATCCTCTCAAACTTTTCTCGGGCTGTTTTTCATTTTACTCTCGACATAAGCCTCTATATTCTTTTTCTTTTCAAATAGAGACCCAGCCACAGGATATTATATATATGTATTTTTTTAACCACCATTACTTTATGAAAGGAGAAAAGGTATTCAAGATCCAACCAGAATTGGGTTTTCTCAAGTTTCCTTGGGTACAAATATACTAAAGGAACAAAAGAGGTTCCCACGGGCCTCCTAATTACTTCTGCCATGCGCAAATGACAAGTATGAACGCGTTCTCCATTAATACAGGGCTGTAACACCAGCTGCCTGGTTTTTATCCCACTCTTAGTAGGATAATCCAAATACTTAAAGGAGGGTTAACCTAAGGAAAAAAGAAACCAGGAATTCTGAGTAAATTCCATGCATTTTTGCCACTGACAGTAACCACTGGCATGAATGGGGCTGATATGGCATCACAAAGGTCTCTCTCTCCTATTAAACCTTTTCCAAACAGACACAGACAATCAGCACCTTTCCATTCATTCTTACAAAGATGAGTAGATACAACTTCAGAGGTACATTCCAACCTGCTGCTAAGACACTTTGTCCAACCACCAACTGCTTGCTTTTGGCAAAAGCACTCAAACACCTTTATAACGTCTGTCATTTCATGCCAGAAAAAAAGCTATGTTCTCTGACTCTCTCTCTTTCTCTCTCTTTTTTTTTTTAAAGTGGGCTCTACACAACAGTGTAGAGTACAACATGGGGCTTGAACTCACAACCCTGAGATCACCACCTAAACTCAGATTAAGAGTCAGACAACTAAGCCACACGGGTTTTTTGATACGGGTTTTTATAATATTTTTATTTTATAAACTGAGCATTTAAATCACCCGTAACTTGGATGCTGTGTGGGGGTTTCACTGCACCTTGGAGCCCTAGGTAAACCTGGTTCAAACTCCCAATTCTATCACTTGTGAGAATTCAGGACCTGTGTCATATCAATGAATTCCCAACCTAACTCCCTTAGATCTCTTGGTTTAAACCTTTTCCCATCTTTGCTGGCTGTTTCCCTTTGCAAGCTTCAGGAAATAAACCTACTTCAGCCTGGCTTCTCTGAAGTGTATTGAGATCACTGGCAGAATCCTGGAGGGGCTCACATCCACTATGAGCTCCAAAATGCACTCACCCTGGGCCCAGTTGATTCTCAACTGCTTCTCCCCCGCCTGACCCTTGTTGCCACAGCCAGTCCATGCTCTACTGGTTCCTCTGTTGCTATCTTGGGAAGCAACCACAAAGAGACAGTCTGCCTTCCCCAGGCTCCCTAGAATTATGGGCTAAACATCTTCTCAATCCTACTATATGACCCACCTCCAAGGTGACAGAAGTAACCTCAGGCACACTGCACCAGCAAATATTTTTAAAAGATTAGTACTTCTAACAATATTAAGATGCAGTCATTACATAAAAACTGGACAGGCCCATAGCAGAGAGGTTTCTGATCATCAGTGATCACAGAGGCAGAGGAGAGAATAAAAGGGAGTGTGAAGATTATAAGTCTAAAGTATGGGGGCACCTGGGTGGCTCAGATGCTTAAGTGTCTGCCTTCAGCTCAGGTCATGATCTCCAGGTCCTGGGATCGAGCCCCAAGTTGGACTCCCTGCTCAGCGGGGAGTCTGCTTCTCCCTCTCTCTCTACCCCTGCTCGTGCTCTCTCTCTCTCTCCAATGAATAAATAAAATCTTTAAAAAAAAAAAAAAAAGGTCTAAAGTATGGTAGGTTTGTTTTTTAATGTGTACTTTTAAGAAGATTTGTATCTACCTGGCAATTATTTTTTTAAGATTTTATTTATTTGACAGAACTCAAAAGTAGAGAGGCAGGCAGAGAGACAGAGGGAAGCAGGCTCCCTGCTGAGCAGAGAGCCTGATGTGGGGCTCGATTCCAGGACCCTGAGATCATGATCTGAGATGAAGGCAGAGGCTTAACCCATTGAGCCACCCAGGTGCCCCATACATGGCAATTGTTAACTGACCTTAGGCACTAGGGGGAGAAACAAAATCTGAATTCAGAGGGCTGATAGCCAATGACTGAAATTAACTACTAATCATGCAAAGGCAGGCAAAGGCTGGAACTGAAAATTGTGCTTTGAAAAATTATCATTATAAATGGTGAGACAGAATGACTAGGGCCTTAAAAGCTGAGCTATGAGAAAAAGTGAGCACAATGTCTGTGTTAGTAACTGTCCCTGTGTTTACCACTGCTCTCTCTTCTAGGCATCCTGAGTTCAGTAAAGATTTCACCGTGAGCCCTGTCACAAAACAAACTAACAACCTTCTTACTTGGGAAGGGCACAGAGTAAAATATCACCTCATTCTTTCAGGCTTTTTCTTTTCTTTTTATATTTATTTAAGTAATCTCTATACCCGATGTGGGCTTGAACTCAGAACCCCGAGATCAAGGGTCGCACACTCTTCCAGCTGAGACAGCCAGGCGCCCCAAGCTTTATCTTTACATAGTGCTCCCTAAAGAGTCTTTCTTAACGGTGTTCGTGTCCTGTA